TTAAAACTTTAGTTAAGGATTTAAGCTAACTACAAACGGAGACAAGGTTTTTTTGAACTCTTCAAAAAGGAAATAGTTGGGTTTTAAGACTTAAATAAGGTTATTATTTGCATTATTTCAAAGCAGGATAAACTGACTCTCATAAATAGATTATTTAATTTAGTTTATTTGTTTTACATACTGAAGGTTTCAATGTCATCAGTGATTAGGTTAATATATACCCCTAATAAGGTTGATGTGATCCTGGCTCTTAAAAGCTGATGACCAAAGATAAAACATTCTGATGAATACTAAAATTTTGAAAATAATCAGGCTATCATATAAATGAAGAAATTAAGGACCTAGATTAAATAGAGTAATAAACTTATAACAGACTGTGTATCTATTTAAATCATTTACATCAATATAACTAAATTTCGAATTATTATAATTTTATTTTATCTAATAGAAATTCAATATTATAATTAACAAAGATGACTCAAAACAAGAAAGATGACTTGTTTAAGGTGTTATAATTGATTGAAGGTATGGATGATAAAATCTACATAATAATAGAAAAGCTCTTAAAAGACGGATATTCTAATTCTCTCAAATTTATTTCAAATATTGAAAATCAACTTAGTTACAAAAAATACATTGTTTTATACGACAATTTATAGTCTTTTGATTAGCATTGGAAATTAGATGCTGCTAAAAGCAATCTTAGGAAAATTACAAATGTTCTCAAAATAATAAAAGATCATGACTTTAATACACAGAATTACTCTATGGAATATTATAAAGAATTTAAAAAGGATCTAATCACAAAAATATCATTGAATAAGAAGATAATAGAATTCCTAAAATTTTTAGTTCATCTGACTGCTTTAGATGAGACCTATATTTGTTGTGGATCAAATTCTCTTCATTTGCTAGTTTAAATGAAAGTAGATTTGAGGGAATAAAGTTTTGAGAATATCAGGATAAGAAATACCTCTGTAGTTGGTGGAAATTTTGTAAGATGCATATTCAATGGATCAGAATTTGACAATGTCGATATTAGTGGAATTAACTTGAATCAAGTGTTGATGTTTAATTGTAATTGGAAGAATATCCAAATTCATGAGTTAAATAAATTAGAAGGTCATAGTAGAGGTGTCAATTAGGTATGCTTTTCTCCAGATGGGAAATCATTAGCATCTTGTAGTAATGATAATTCAATTGTATTGTGGGATGTTAAAATAGGAAAGATAAAGTCTAGAATCAAGGGAAAGGAAAATGTAAAATCAGTATGCTTCTCACCAAATACTAGTACATTAGCTTTAAGCAGTGGAAAAATTGTTATTCAATTAAAGTTCAACAATTATGACTTTTTTATTTTACTTGCATTTACCTTTATATTCTTAGCTGCTCATCTAGTTAAAAAAAGTGCTAACCCAAATTTGAAAAAATTAAAAATAGCAATTTTTGAAATTATTTAAATAACATAGAATATTATTATTGCTTTTTCAACCTTCTTCTTCTTTACTCTTTTTTGAATTCCTATAAATATTTTGAGTAATTTTATATGCCACTTTTTATCATAATACAATTCACTATATTCTTAATGATCAAATTTATAATTGAATTGCACATGACCTTTTTAATACATCATTCTTAATTTATCGTATTATTCTTATTCTGATATTTCATTTTCAGGGTTTTTTGAAGATTTGCTAAATATGATAATTTCAATAAAAAAGTTAACCTATAAAATTCAATAAATTACTTATTCAAATTGTAAACCTTATCAACCTTCTGTAAAATCGGTTTTCAATAATCTAAATGTTAGCACTCTATTAATTTAATTATGTTTATGCTAAATTGTATTTCACCTTTAAGAGTCAATTTTGGTTATTTAAACTAGTAAACCTTGAATTCTTCAGAATAAGCTTATTCAATGGTTAAAGAATAGTGTGAAAGACTCTATCAACAAAAACTGCATTTAAACAAGGAAGTAAATACAGAGAGCTTGTATAAACCAAAGTTTAAATGGCATAAAAATGTTTAGATTAAAAATTCAAATAAAATCATATTTTGCTTTAAATTTGATTGGTTATTTATTATTTTAAATAGGTTTCTACCTTCAAAATTTTTTATTTGATTTAGTCTTAACATAATTCAAGATTTGATTAGAAATTATGAGATATAAAGCGAAATTAAGTGGCTGAAAGGAGAATTTGTTGTAATTATTATCAATATAGTGTTTTCCCTATTAATCAAATCCATCTAAGACCCATCAATTAGGAAAGAAACTAGGTAGAATAATGATCGAAGAGACACTTGAATGAAAAATTACAAAAATCTCATAAAACAAGATGATTAGTGAAAAGAATATTAATATTCAATTCCTAAGTTGATGACTAAAAAAACAAAATTAAAATGTGCTAAATCTAAAATTTTTTAACATTCTCTAACCATATGAGGTAAATCCTAATTATAATGAAGGACTGGATATGATTTAGTTTGTTTGAAAATGAATTGCATTAACTTTCTTAAATTGGCAATAAGTAAAAATTTATCTAAATGAATGAGCTAGAAAAAAAATTACCTAATAATAGATGTTAAAAGGGCTTTTCCTAACATTGATATTTTTCAAAGTTTAATTATCAAGAGAAATTTTGAGATAGGGGAGTTGTCTAAATGTTCTTCCCTTGACTTGAAATTATTTAATTCAAATTTTTTTCAAGAACAAATTTTTTTTCTGATTTTGGCTGAGGCTGCAGAACAAAAAATACTCATGCACATTATAACAATTTATATCAAAAAATAGCCCATAAAGTAATTTATGAATTGATTAAAGGTTAATTATTCATTTTATCTTTTAGGAATTTCATCACAGCAATCAATTTTATTCATGATAACAAGCTGGCATTTACATTTTGGAAATTAAGAGAGGGCTAAAGTGGAGAATTTGCTGTATTAAGATACTCAACAAGCAGCTCATATCAATCACTGAATTGATAAGTATGTTTTATATTAATTTATCAAATGAATCTCGAATTGAGTTATTATGAAGGAATGCAGTACAACAAAGAATTCAGATATCATTAATAAACTTAATTAATATATATGTTTCAATTCAAACTAACAAAGTAAATAAAATGAAAGGAGATGTTAAATTATTGAATGACTAATACTTTATTATCCTAATAAATTTTAAGTCAAATCAATTTTTCTCAAAATCAAACAAAATGGATAAGTGATAATGACTTTATATAAATAATTTGAAGAATTTAATAGTTATTTACTTTTATAATCAAATTTAGTTCTAAATAACTTTATTTTCCAAAATAAAATAAGTTTAGTATTTCAGTATGCATCCCCTTCAATTTCCCTATTTGAATAATTTCGAAAAAATCAGAATTACATCAAGGAAAAGCAAGGAATTCTTAATCAAATTTAGAAATGATTTTAGCACAGACCTTTAAAAAAAGTAAAGATCATAAATGAATTAGAGGAGGTGGAATTTAAAATAAAGCTGGATAAAAACATAGATTAAAATATTAGCAAGTTTATAAATCCTTTAAATTTAATAAAGGAAAATAAAGTTCTTTAAATTAATCAAATATTATTGAAGTTTTGTGTAGATCAAACCAAAGGTTCTTGAGAGAGAATTTAATAACAGTATTAAATGCCGCTAATCTGAAATTAGGAGAAGCGTTAGATGAATGTGGAAGGTTTTTGATGTCATCTTTTTAGTGCAGGTTGGCACTTAGGTTGAGTAATATGATAGACTATCGTTTTAGTTGATTTTAGTTGATGATAAAAGATGTAGAACAATAAATTATATTGTGAATAATTAAATCAAATTAAAAAATAGTATTTTATAATATAAAAATTCAAATTATTTAGATAATTATTTCAGTTTTTTACAATTTATACAATTACCTCTACTTCCTTATTATTTATCTTATATAAAAATTTAGATAAATTCATAATTTTCCTGATTAAAATTTTATTTACCAATTTTGAGTCTACAAAAATGAATTACTCTTTATTATATTAGGTACTTAATAACAGAACTATGATTGTGCTTGGTAAAAAAAAAGATTGTTTATTGGTAGTTTATTCACACTCAAAATTTAGAAGAAATATAAAGGAAATTTTTAAAATTTTACTAAATTTTTAATAACTTTGAGAAATACTATATTTAAATTAATCTAGTCACTAACATTTTCATGTTTTAATGCCTTGCAAATTCTTAAAAGTATTTATAATTAAGAAGGTTTATGTAAATATATATGATTGGAATATGAGATTTGGTTACTTTAATATTAATGCATATCTTGTTAGGGTGCTAATAAATCGTTGAAGAAAATATATAGCATCCCAACATAAGTGTGCATTTGATACAGACTTATGTTAAGATAAAACATTCCATATAAATTGAGAAGATGCATCCACCAATCAATGCTGTGCATTGAGTTGTGTGTATCAAAAGTATCTACACATGCTGTATAAAAGGTCAACAAGCGGTACTTTTGGAATGACCAAAGTGATAACAAAATCACTTGAGGACAGCACATGCAGATGACATGTATCAGGGGCACCAGTAATCAAGGACATATAATACGATTAGTATAATACTCTAAATTAACTAAAAACAGTTAACAAGAAACCAAACAAAAAACTTAGTACATTAGCTTGCTAATTAAAAACAAAACATGGTTTACCACTATAATTACATTTAGTAGTGACAGTGTATTAAAATTGAATATTTATAGTGTACCACATTATTTCAAGTTTTAAGAATTATAGTTTGTCTATGGGAAGCAATGAGGATGGAAAATTGTTATTCAATTAACAAAGAAACATAATGTTTAACCCAAAAACACTGATATAAGCTCTGCAATCTATAAAGATGCATGAATTAATGATCATTCGAGTATTAGAATTTCAGGTATAAAAAATATCCAGTCGCCATTTCAAAAACAAAGCATTTATACTTGTAGTATAAATACCAAAGCTAAAGCATTTTCCATTGTTATCTTCTGTTGACAACTCCACATTAACCTTCGAAAAAAGTTAAATATTCAGGGCGACCAATTTCTTGCGAGCTGCACAACTCATGATCTTTTCTGCTTGATCCTTTGTGTTGAGCTCAATTCAGAAGATCAACTTTATAATTCTAAGCATGGCAAGAAGATGCTAAATATTAGGTCCTTTGCAAGATATTCTTTTGCATCAGAATTTAACAAGCATAAACTCTTAACTTAATATACGAGACTGGATTCTTAAAGTATTAGCGGCACAATAAAACCATCTTATAAGAACCATTATATCATTTAGTGGTAATATCAATAGTTTACTAAAGAATAACATTGAGTTGAACCAATTTCTTCAGAAAGTTTAGAAATGAAACTGAAAGCCTTATACAACCTAATCTGGCCCCCATATTAATTTGGACTAAGTAAGTAAAGTACTGGTCAATCATCACCATCACTAAAAAGGAGTGGTTGCAAACGAATCAAAGCTTTGAAGTTTAAGCATTATATTATCACATCAAGAATTGTAGCAAAATAAACATTTGTTGCATTAAATAAGTGATAAGTGCAAAATAAACTAAAATACTGAATCAATCCCAATATAAAGCTAGATGCAAAAGGGCTCTAAGATGTTCAAGCCAAGCGTCGATACGGACTGACAAATTCAATAAAAAAAATGTTGATGAATAATTAATAACACAGGCAAAGTTTTGCCTAATTTGTGATCGTAGATTTACCACAAGATGCACTATGTGGTTTCTCAGAAAAGTTATTTTAGGATGGAGTTCCAAAAGAGCTAAAGAAATTTTTGAACAAAAAAATTCATAAGTGCCGCAAAGCCATGACCAAGTCGCAACATTTTCAATAAACTTATTAAGGTAATAGGAAAGCCTATATCATTAAATCTTCTGTTATTTTCACCCAATGCTGTGCCAGTATCTAAGTACATAAGTATCAGGACACTAATTTGAAATTTTGCTAGCCAAGCTGATTTATAACTATCATTAGGATACCTTGACATCAAACACAAGTTATCAGCAATTTTGCACAAGTATCACAAGTGAATCCAAATACTTGAATTAGCAATATTTGAATTACTTATTGATGTATAAATAAAAAAAAGGATATTGGTGGTTGAATTATAAGGATAGTCGCTCTAACAGATAAAATTTTTATCATAGGCAATATATGATTGATTGCAATAATAAGAACAAAAAAGCAATCAGAGTTGAGAATAAGGTAAAGCAACTCTATTATCAAATCAGGGACAAAAAACTTAAGGTTGAATAATTATGTTCAAATTTAAGTTTCACTATTGTAATATGTGATTTCATAAAGGAAGCGGATAGAAGATGTTTCACCTTAAATATTGAAGTGGGAAATTGCCTGGAATTTAGAGGAGCCTGTATTGCAAGAGAGTGGACTTTCAGATTATGCTTAAATTTTTCCTCTTATTTTAACATATATTATTCAGATTATTAAAAGTTAAAAGGCAATTTTAGTATAGGTAAAATTAAGATGATTTAAATAGCATGCTCCTTTAAATTTTAGATGAAATTTTGTATATCAACAAACATAATAAGTTGATCGATATTGAAGACAAACACAGGTTTAATTAAGTACAGGCTATATAAAACATGTTGAATGCAAATTATAATCCATCATAATATTATTGTGCATTCCTACTCCATGAATTAAATGAGCAATAAATGATTTCCACTTTTTTTAACATAGTAGCTATTATCAAATTGTCCTTCTTTTATTCAGCTATTTTAGGGCCTGAATAAAGGTATCAGAGTTTACTTCCAGTATCAAATACTAATTGAATTCTGATACAATATGACATATACTATTTTAGTGGATTCCTAACAATAAACATTTATATGCCTTAAGTGTGAAGCATATACTGCATATGAGAACAATATTGTAGCACAGTATGCATTTATTGAGTTGATTGATGACTCATTGATGTCAGTTAGATATGTCCTTAACAAGTTTAAAATAGTAATCCCTTTGATAACTACTATATCAAATAAACTAGCCTTATAATCAGTCAATTATACTGATGCACTAAGTAAATTGTATAAAAGCAACTTAATATACAGTTTCTGTTTTAATAATTTGTGCACAGAGCAAATTTTAAAGCTTAAATTCTCCAAAAAACAGATGATTCCAGGAACTTACAATTTACGTCAGACTAAACGAAGCATGCAATTTTATAGCATAAGGAGCATTTAAATACCAAAGGTAAGAGGATTTAGAAAAAAGACTAGATATACCAATCATACATTATTGATACAGCAATTTTTTTTCAACACTAAATGATAGAACATTTATTTATTATTAAATGTTGCTATAGTGATACTTTCTGTTGATATCATTATCAAATACATGAAATACAACAACTAGAGGAAACTATATATGTATAGTTAATCTCAACACATACAGATGTTGACAGCAAATACACATGAAATGTAAAATTGGGTTCAAACTTTAATCTTTGGAGGTGCTTTAAATATATAGAGCACTATTAAAGTAGCATTTAGTATAAAGATAGGTGACACAATTATTGAATCGACGGTAATGGTTAGATGCTGGAAAAAATATTCATTTATGTGTACATCAAATACTGCATTTTGATTTAAACAGAATCACTCCTAACAAGTTGAGGAATTTGTAGTTCCAAAAGTAATTAATGAAGCACTACGATTACATCCAATATTAAAATTAATTCCATTCTAAAATTAGTTAGCCATGCAATAGACTGGTCAATTACTCAAAAGCTTAAAATTTTACACAAAGGTGTTTAACAACACAAATAAAGACTTGATTAAATTTAAAAAACTCTCCACATAAATCAAGTGAAATTTAAACCTAACCATTAACACTGGAGCAGTTTATTAAGATATTTACCAGAGGCAAGAGTTATTTGGAATAAATATTTACAATGCATATAAACCATTAGAATTTAACATAACAAGCACATTGAGTGATATATTTAGGCTTGAATTTCATCTATTTTACTTGTTTTTCTACAATTTTCACAAGTATGCTAATAATTCTAAACAAACATTCTACTAAAGAATCTGCTATTCTACTAGGATAGGATTGTATGTGAGATGGTTCTTTTTATACAGGTTGCATATATAGATAAGTATGTTTATCAATCATATAGCGACCATTCTTCGAGCAACTAATATTAAAAGCATTTTAATTCTGTCATTACTTGAAATTTTACTGCACTTTTTCCCAAGAATGGCATTATTAAGAAAGATGTAGCTACACAATTATCAAAGTAATAAGAAGTTTTACAATGAAATGACTAAGAGACATTATAGCCAACATATATAACGGCGCATGCACAATTATTGTATTATATAATAAGCTTCAAAAACTCAACATAATTCAGTTCAAAACAGACGATCAATGCATCACTGGTATTGTACATAAGATGCAGCCACTATCACAAGAATATCTGCAATTTATATAGGTATATCCCTTGTCAACTCCACAAGCTTATGGTAAATGAAGGTTGGACATTTAGTGTAACTATCTCCAGCAGGGTAAATATCATCCTTACAATGCTTTAGCAATTAATGACCACCAATTTTCATTAAAGGGGTAGATGTAGGATTAAAAGGAATATATTTTTATTTTGGAGCAGCAAAATTAGCAGAGTTTTCACACTCCCACCAATAAAACTACAACTTGTAGTCTTGAATTGTACATTATTTACAAGGATTGCACATGTATAGTAAGTGATAAAGATGAAGAAGCTAAGCAAGAATATGGACACAATTAATGATGAACCCATAATGTAGAATAGGATATTAAGTTATCATCTTTGTGATGATACATTCTGATATGGCTCTCCTAATTTCCTAAAAGATGGATTACAAGTTGATAATTAATATGTTCCACCATAACCATCAGCACATAATGTATAAGTGACGGTATTTCTAGTGTCCTCACATAGGATGAATTAAATTTTAAGTACAGGCTCTAATCAGATATTTTTACTCACAGTTGCAATTTTGAACACACATTGCACAGCTTTTAACTCCAGATTCACCCAATTGTATTTGAGAAGCACCATGATTATAATTTACGCTTGAAGATTTACTAATATTAAATGGTTAGGTAATATGCTGATAAATTATTGTATAAGATCTTGATTAAAGAAATAAGTACAAGTATTTTAGAAAGATGGGTAGAAGTTGGTTTATGCGTAATTATTGATCTGTCGTGCTTGAATATACTATTATATCCACTATATCACATTCAGAATAATTATCAGAGGCACAATTTTTAGTGCAAGAGTGTGTGGATGTGCTTACTTACATCAACACCACTATGATCTTAACTTTTCTGGTCGTTAATATTATGTAGTTGTATATGGAGTAAGTATTTTATTTAATTGTGAAACTCAGGGTCCATCAACACACGTGACAATAGTTTGAGCAAACAGCACATAATGAAATGCCATCAAAAAGTTTACTTTATTATCATGCCACCAATAATTCATTATGGCGAACAATACTAAAATTAGTATACTGATACTTGCATACTTATGCGATAAGTAAAGAATTAAAAAGAGCATTAAGCAACAATCTTAAAAATTGAAGGATTGCAGCTTGTGTAAGCAAAAGGCATAAACAACAACTTTTATCATATTAAAAGCAAAGTGTAATAAATCTCTCACATGTTAAAGAGAAGCAGTATTTGGAGATGTAAATGGGAATATGTATTTACATATAAGTAGTACGTAGTTAAAGGAAGTGAATTAGCAACTCAAAAATTTAAGCAAAGGTTACAAGTGTTGACAGAGGGAAACTCTCGTTATGTATTTAATCATCACAATCAATCTTGCACACAATAAGGATTTATAGCCTTAGTAGTATTTAAGAACAAGGTAAGAGGTAGGGAAAACACATAATGAGCAAATAGGATTAGGGTTAAGCATATTACTACATATAGGATAAAGAGCAGATTTGGTCAAATGAAATGCTGAATAGTTTCTTGATATGCTCTTAGTAGCCGAGTTTTCAGATGATACAAGATGCTCTGCTATAGAATAGGCATGGTGTTATAGAGTAAGCACAATTACATGATACATCTGCGACATTTGGTGACTAATTAAATAGAAATCTAAAGAAATCCTGTAATCCTATATTAGTAAAAGACAACTTTGTAAATGGATCATGATTGTTAAATAACAATTTAGGATTGGCATTATAAAATTAAATTTCGATCTGATTATAGAAATTATGATTTACAACCAATACATGCACATTCATTTTGACTTTTAAGTTCTATAAATATGTTTTTTATATATTTCAAGGATATAAAGGTTGTCAATAAACAAAACAGGTACATGCAGTAGATTAGAAAGATTATGTTTCTCTGAGTTAAAATAAAGATTTTAACCCTAAAGTTAGGACATTAATAATCCACTTGCATCATAACCTTCATAATGCATATAGAGGTTCAGCTGCAAGTTTAGAACAGGAAACATATGATTCATTAGTGTTCTAGATTGTCCTAGTAAAGTAAAGTAAGGATAGCAAGTAGAATACAGTGAGGGCATTTGAAGTTCAATTTTCAAATATAGTTGGAAGGCTGACAACCTACAATCCTATTGGATCAATCTTACAATATTTATTACCATTTGTATATCTAATTGCAGATCAGTTAATTCTAAACCTGAGGGAAACATCAATATGAATATGATCTAAAGCTTCATTAAGAATGAACTTTTATAATTATTGGTAGGAGCAAACAACAGGAGCTTATTTGAAAATGCTATTGCCAAAACTGATTTTCATAATTAACACAGAGTATTGCTAATAATCAGCGATTTTAGCTCAACAACTATCTCAAGAGACATGTTTTTGAAAATCATGAAGACATTATGAGTATTTTTTGTAATTCTAAGGATATTAATAAATTAAACTATAAGATTTACGGTGTCAATCACTGAACACTCCTCAGTAGCAGAGTAAATATCAATAGGCATGAAACAACTTGCTCCAAATAAAAGTATCAGCGCCTACAAATCAACTTTTTACATTACTTATGAAGTAAATAATGTATATACTTTATCTGAAAAAAGTTAAGCAGAAAATTGAACTAATGTTAGTATGGTTTCCAAAGGGCAACTATCATTTTAAGTGTAGCTTTAATATTAAAAAAATAAGGTATAAGCTGAGGATAAACAGCACCGCCACTACTTTGAGGCGTTTACTTTTGAATGGAAATACAAAATATTATAGATTAAATAGAAAACTTTAGTAATAAAACCATATGATTGTAAGAATTATTATTGTTTACTAAACAATCTTGTTAGTGAGCTATCCTAAATAACAATACATGTGAAAAAATTATTGAAACAAAGAGTTCATATTCAACTGCTTTTATAAGTATCAATGCAAGATAAAAAAATAATATTGGCCGGAACAAATTAATTATAATAGTATTTTTGTAGCAGAAATATTTTAGTTCAAGATCTAATACATTCACAATTGTTAGTTGAACAAATCGTTAATGCGAAACTTCTATTGGAATCGATGGTACAATTTTATATACCATCATCGCATTTAATAGTCGAATAAGGTAAGTTTACATTAATATCATTTGGTAAGTTAATCATGAAAGAGTTTCCAACTGCTTAAATTGTGGATAGGTTATGATTATGCCTTATAATGCATAAGGAAAACAATTTAAATGCCGTGTTAGTTCATGTTAGATTTGGTACTTTATGAAGAGTATTTATTATGTTGGGAAGAATTCATCAATGTTGCTACAAATAAGATTGCTTTTTAATTACATTACAGAAATATTTCTTGATATTAATTTTAAAACTTAGCCTCCTCCAATCTCAGATTCTCATCCCCTTGTCTAACATCTTATAAATTTGTTGCTAGTATCGTAAATGTGCGACACTTTTATATCTTCCTAGAACTCTTAACTCAACTTTTACTTTTGGGTTTCATATCAATGTACCATCAATTTACTTATTTAATTTGCTCAGCCAATTATATTTAGAAACATTGTAGAGATGACATTGAATCTTAAGTTCGAAATAATGATGTCACATGTGTGGAGCAGCCAAATATTTTTCATCCTGGGTTAATGGGTATTACATTACATTCCACACATTGATTGATAATGCCCTAATCACAATTCAAATATCGTAAATTTTTTTATGATATTATTACAATTAATATTAATGCTAGAATGTCTAAATGCATTTTTACTTTTTCTCCATTTAATATAATACAAGTATTAATTCAAATTGCAATTCTAATTATTTTAACTTGTAGAATTATTTACTCTTTAGAGAATAAATTAAATGTTAATTCTTAAGATTATAAAATACATGTTCTAAGATTTTTTTTAAATATAAAGAGGAATAGTTACTATTATGCTTTAATATAATGGTAATTTTACCTGCTGCCATAACTATTATTTTTGTATACTATAAAGATGGTGCTAATTGTATTTCTTGATATTTGATGTGCTTAGCGAAGGGTTTTAGTAAAGGATTTTAATCACTCATTTAATGCTAGAGACTGGATAATACAAACAATTAGTAATAGATCTATTGGCACTCCTATGTATTCTATCTAAAGGATAATACTTATAGTAAATGGAGTTTTTGTATAGCTTGTGCAAAAATATCCGTGAAGGATTCCCTGAAATGTATTCTTTATGTTTATTTGAAGAAATGAAAAACGAAATGAAAAAGGGGGATTCAAGGAAGGATAGAGTTATTATATAATCATCAATATAAATAATCCTTAAATAAAAAACTCTTATATGAGGTAAAAAATATTGAAATATTTACTACAAAGTTTCTTAAAATCACAGTGGTTAATAGTCACTAATGCACAGGGATTCAAGAATTTCTTACTTTATTTTAACAAAATTAGAAATTGCTTATTTATTTTGAGAATAATTTGTAATGAAGTGTATTAAACTGAATCGCAAATTTTTTAACTTTAGATTAAGTAGTTAGTTTTCCTTCTATGAAAATTATAGCCTACTTAATATATTAATAGACATGCAGTTCTACGTGATTTGAGTCTCCTCTACAAGCAATATTAACTGCTAGGAAGCATTATCTTTTATTAAAAATATATTGCCATTATTGATTAGCCTATGAAAGTATTCTCATCAGAAAACCACTAATGCAATACGAATTATGTAGAAATGTTAAGCATTTTTAGGACATTCCTAATAGGGCTGTTTTATAAATCCAGCTATGCATTCTTGAAATAAATTCTATTGTCACATGTAGAGTTCAAGTACTCCAAATATTTGAATGGATATCTCATCATTAGTTGAAACTGTGAGTTTGAGAAACTGACTATGTGGTAATTAGGTATCAAACACATTTTATTATGTCTATAACAAAGTAAAGATGTTAGACAAGAACATGAGACTTAGTACTATTAACCACAGATTGCTAAGGGAAATGCTCAAAGTTGCACAGTAAATCCAAACTACTATACATTCTTGTTAGCAGTAAGCAAGTAATATGTGTAACTCTTATGATTACAGAAAGATTGACAGCTTCTTCATTGAACTTCACTTTTTATCAAATAATTACATTGGATTTAAGGCGTATCTTTTGATAAGTAAATCTACATAGGTGTTGTACACACAACTCCGATTTTGCTTCATAAAGGAAAATATTTTTATCATCTACAAGAAATTAATATTGATGATTTAACACATATAAACATAGTAAAAAATGGTTTGTTATTTCGTTAATATATTAATTAATTTTTCCTTCTTAGGAATTAATAATAAATGTACAGCTTATTTTTCAAGACAACTTGTTCAAACATGACTATATTTTTAGACAAGGATATGTATAAATCCTACTTTTTTGCTCTGCATTAGGAACTGCACTCCATCAATGTGAATATACATATACATCCAAAGTGATGTTTCAGGTCCTTGAATATAATAATTGAGTTAGCACTGTGTCAAGGCCAGATCTTAGTTAAGCATTTGGGTAATTAAGAAGAATTCACTTTGTGCTCCAGCAAGACAGCCTTAAATATGAAGCAGCAATATACTAAACGCAGTACAAAAAGCATAGTGCAAGTATAATAGTTTACATTATGAGAGATGCATGCATTCTATTCTGTGGATAGATAACAAGATTAAAAAGTTGAACGACTTAAGTAAAGATTTGAAAAATATTGTATATCACTCCCTGTTGAGCAGATTCCTCCAGTGCAATAAATATTAAATTAGAAAGAAGCTGTAGTGCTTCCAGTAAACTTCATATGTGAAGTAGTTCTATTATTACTGGTAGTTTAAGGTCAGCATTAAAGTTTCTACAAAATTTGCAGGGCATCCATCTGTGATTTGATATCAATTAAGAATCAAAATATTTTCTATTGATTTTATATCAATTAAGAATCATAATATTTGCTAATGATCGTATATCAAATAAGAATCAAATATAGTCTATTCATTTATTTCATAATTTACCCCTTTCAGTTTTCTCGGTCTGTTTTCTGTTTTCAAAATAGCATCGTTTTAGTGTTATCACCATCAAAGTTCAATTAATTGATATTTCCTCAATTTAATTATACCTTCTTTGGTTTTTCGAGAATTTTGGGGAAAAACAATAGGCTTGATTAATATATTTAATAGAAGAGGTTCTGGAATTTAGCAAATGAATACTCTTTTTTTATTGTTTTAATTACAGATTAGATTAATGGAAGTCTAAATAGGAAAATATTAAAATATGCCAATACTTCTCTTCTGTAAATTCGGTTTCCATTCTCTACTATTTAATCTTGTAGCCAATCAATAAAATTGGAATATATTATTTTTATTATTACAAATTGAATTAATATTCAATATATAAATTTCGATTTAGAATACAATAAAATCATTCCCAATTATCTCTAATTTCCACTCTATTTCCAGAAGAAAGCATATTGATGCAGAAATGAATATCATCATTATTTGGTGTATCAAAGGTCCACACTATAGCTTAAGTATCATTCGGTTTATTTTTGTGTAAATTTGATAAAAGGATTTACTTTATTTTCCAAAATAACATCCACAATTATTATATTGCCAATTATGAATTTGAATGATTTCTAGACTCCATTGTCTTCTTTTTTATAGTGAGACCAGGAGTATGAAATTGATGAAATCATATAAGAACCATGTCCCAAATTTGTTAAATCGCTTAAATTTTATAATACTTTTAACTTCTTCAATAAAAGTACGCTCTTATCAGCTCTACCTATGCCAATCCAACTAGTTAAAGAAATAATCTTGATGGCTCAACTACAAGACTTCAGGATTCCAGGTTCAATTAAGATGAATCTAGTGTCATGATTAGCAAATAAATAATCGGTTTGTAGGATATTCTTTTGTTCTGATATTTTAATTGATGGAGACTTAAGAAAAGAACTGAATGTGAAATTTGGTGAATTTTAGGCTTATGGTGCTTGAGCGAATTTTTCAATAAGCTTAGGAATTGCTTAACAAGGCTCATTTTATTTAATTGAGTTCTATTATATTAACTTTTTAGTAAATGGTTAGTTTACTTGTTCATTGTGTTTTTGTTGGACTTGACTATTAATTTTGATTAATTGAATCACATGTTTGATGCCTTATTATGGGAAATCGTCATTTTTAAATTTAAGTTAAGGATTAGAATTGAGTTTTGGCAAATCTGATGATGCTTAAGATGGTAAAATGTTGATAAAATTAAACTCATCATTCAATAGTTGATCAAGTTATGCATGAATTCTGTTGAATGATCCCTATTGATATTAATCATATTTTACCTCTACTTCATATTACAAACTTACTAAGATTTTTGTTGTTTTACTCTTTTATTCTTATTCAATTTTATTTTATTTTCTCTCCATCTTATTATATAATTCTCTGATAAATAATATTTTCACTTATTACTTAATTGAATTATCTATTAATACATATTAAATTTATATTATTTTTTTATTCAAAATCCAAAAAAACAATAATTGATAATAAATTTTATATTATTTTTAATTTAATTTTTATCATGCAAAATATCAGCTTCACTCCATAAAAAATATTGCAGCCTATTTAAATGGAACTCCAACCCAGATGATATTGCATTTGTAACTGAGCCATCTGTTAAAATAATTCCTTCTTTCAATTAAATTTTACCTATACTCTAATTAATTTGCTTAATAAGGTTATATTTATATAATGAGTACGACTGGGATATCCACAGGTTTGCCATACATACTTTATCCCTAATTAAAGTAAACCTATCACAAATATTAGATTTTAGTTCTTATATTTGTGAATAAAATCTAAAAAGGTAAATTTTTAAAACGAAATCATATTTATTACCTACTTGCTAAAGAAAAAATTTTAACTTCTCCTAAATGAAATAAAGTATATGGAATACTTTTTACATATAAATATATCAATTAATTGTGTTTTCTTTTTCTAGTATTTGAAGTTAAAATATTTCTTTTTATTCATATTTAATCTCTTTTTTCAAAATTAAAACTTCATCAAGTAATCCAAAAATTTCTAACACACTTATTTCTAAATTTTTGTTTATTTATAAATTTTTCCTTTATTTAAATACGTTTTAGGTAACTGAAACAACTTTATCTTTATGGTTAAGGAGCCAATTACAATCCGAAATCTTCTTTTGAAAACTCTATGAAAAAAGAGGTAGATTAGAATAAAAAATAATTTCAAAATTATAAAATTATTAGAATGCAATCTTAATTCTAATATATTTTATTTGATATTAAAATATTTTAGCAGTATTTTAGGATTAACACTAGTGATAAAGTTAGAGATTAAATAGCAATCAATTCGTTATTTTATCAATATAACATCATCAAAACTTCATTGAAAGATGCCTCCCCAATAGCTGCAAAATGAATCAAGAAAATTTAGAGAATTAATTCTTAGACTTAGAAATTGAAAGGCAAAACGGAAGAGATGAATAAACATGAAAATTGAAATTTTTTGCATGAATTTATTGAATTAGACAAAAAATTAAAAAAAAAGATACGAAGGTAAGAATTTTATTTAAGAGAATAGATATATCAAGTGAGTGTTATTACCAGAAGAAAACTTATAATAATTGATAATTGTCAAAGTTTTGAAAATAATCTATAGTCTAATCTCACCCCAAAATGAATGAACAGCTCAATCATTTGTATTACACCAGGATTAAAAATGATCAGACATTAACAATTGCCTACTTCCAAGAAAATTGTCACATTTTATTATTAAAGATTTAAAAGGAATAATGATCACTAACATATAGATGTGAATAAATAACAGAAGTGCCTAAAGAATTGTATTACTATTTTTCTTCACAAGATGGTCACACCGAATACAGGATTTATGATTAATATAATTAAGAAGAAAATAGCAAACATAAATTTAATTAACCTAGCTATGAAATTCTAATAATTAGTGCATCATAGTACAAATTCTATAGAATCTTTTAATGTGATTTACCAGTCTTAAAAATTATTCTTTTTGAAACTGAATAATTCTGAACAAGTTGCTGTTCAAACTAAAAAAATTGTAAACTTTCTTTCATATCAACAAAAAGAGTAAAACTTATTTTATAATGAATACTCTTTAGAGTAATAATCTGTGTCGAAAAATTATTAGTAATTTTCATTTGGTAAAGCATTACAATCTACTCCCAACAAAAAATTGATGACCTGATATTTTTACTAATTTACAAATTTTTCAAATATCTTCTCCTTTGATTTAATTTATATCGTTCACCTTGTAGGTAATAAAGAATTTGGTCAAGGTTTTGATTTTAATTAAATTCTATTCTCTTTGATAAGATGTAAATATTCCAAATTTATTTTTCAGATTCTTTATATATTTCACAAAAATTCAGTTTATTTTAATCTGATTATTTCTCCTTTCCAATGGCTTCCTTATAATAACATTCTTCTTTTTGAGACATTCAAATATTCGCTTTAATTGAACTTTATCAGAATTATGTTTTTCCATATACTGTTGGTCACAATCTTTTATTAATGAGTATAAATTATTTATTCTAGCTTAATAATTCTATAAATCATAGAGCAAGTCAAGTTGTAATCCTAATATATCAAGTCTAATACAAGTGGTTAAGTTTCTCAGATATCATCCTTAAGCAATTTTATTTTATGAATCTGCTGAATCTAAGTCTCAGACTGTTACATAATACGTCGTAATGACTACTTAATTAAAAGATACTTATTATGCCAGAGTTTTAATAAAACCATTTGGATGTATCTATTAAAGCAACTGTTGTGAATGTGCTCAATGGGTCCTAATTATTAAAGATTAGTTTTTCATAGTTGATGATTACATTATATAATAAACCTGCTCTATAGATACATCATAAGTAAGTTCTGTATCATATAATTTACTCTTCAATCTCTTCAATAAAATAGAAACTGGGGACAAGTTTAATATCATTCCTCAATTTGCAAAAATACAGCCTGTAATAATAGCTGCATTACTTACTCGCCTGCATAGTTTATGCTTTCACAACTGCTGCATATAGTGGCTGTTAACCTAAACTGGTGAGCAAATATCTAAAATATATTTACTTTAACAAGTGATCTCGAATTTTTTTCGATGGGTANTATTAAAGATTTAAAAGGAATAATGATCACTAACATATAGATGTGAATAAATAACAGAAGTGCCTAAAGAATTGTATTACTATTTTTCTTCACAAGATGGTCACACCGAATACAGGATTTATGATTAATATAATTAAGAAGAAAATAGCAAACATAAATTTAATTAACCTAGCTATGAAATTCTAATAATTAGTGCATCATAGTACAAATTCTATAGAATCTTTTAATGTGATTTACCAGTCTTAAAAATTATTCTTTTTGAAACTGAATAATTCTGAACAAGTTGCTGTTCAAACTAAAAAAATTGTAAACTTTCTTTCATATCAACAAAAAGAGTAAAACTTATTTTATAATGAATACTCTTTAGAGTAATAATCTGTGTCGAAAAATTATTAGTAATTTTCATTTGGTAAAGCATTACAATCTACTCCCAACAAAAAATTGATGACCTGATATTTTTACTAATTTACAAATTTTTCAAATATCTTCTCCTTTGATTTAATTTATATCGTTCACCTTGTAGGTAATAAAGAATTTGGTCAAGGTTTTGATTTTAATTAAATTCTATTCTCTTTGATAAGATGTAAATATTCCAAATTTATTTTTCAGATTCTTTATATATTTCACAAAAATTCAGTTTATTTTAATCTGATTATTTCTCCTTTCCAATGGCTTCCTTATAATAACATTCTTCTTTTTGAGACATTCAAATATTCGCTTTAATTGAACTTTATCAGAATTATGTTTTTCCATATACTGTTGGTCACAATCTTTTATTAATGAGTATAAATTATTTATTCTAGCTTAATAATTCTATAAATCATAGAGCAAGTCAAGTTGTAATCCTAATATATCAAGTCTAATACAAGTGGTTAAGTTTCTCAGATATCATCCTTAAGCAATTTTATTTTATGAATCTGCTGAATCTAAGTCTCAGACTGTTACATAATACGTCGTAATGACTACTTAATTAAAAGATACTTATTATGCCAGAGTTTTAATAAAACCATTTGGATGTATCTATTAAAGCAACTGTTGTGAATGTGCTCAATGGGTCCTAATTATTAAAGATTAGTTTTTCATAGTTGATGATTACATTATATAATAAACCTGCTCTATAGATACATCATAAGTAAGTTCTGTATCATATAATTTACTCTTCAATCTCTTCAATAAAATAGAAACTGGGGACAAGTTTAATATCATTCCTCAATTTGCAAAAATACAGCCTGTAATAATAGCTGCATTACTTACTCGCCTGCATAGTTTATGCTTTCACAACTGCTGCATATAGTGGCTGTTAACCTAAACTGGTGAGCAAATATCTAAAATATATTTACTTTAACAAGTGATCTCGAATTTTTTTCGATGGGTACTGTCAAATTATCTAACTTTTAATAAAGGTGCCAAACCATTACAAGTGCTATAACGACTTTTAATATTTTTTAGCATCTATAAATGTCTTGCTTGTAGATATTAATATGATAGTTGTCCTTCTACTAATAATACTCATAAAATGAAATGCAAGATAATCGAGCCTTCAAGATCACTGTCCAAAAAGCATGACTTAGTGATAATCATCTAGACGTTAGCAAAGTATGCTAATAAAGGATTGAATTTATAGTTGGATATTGTTTTGATTTTTCCAATTAGTGTAACCTATTTAAAAAGTTAGTTTGAAGCACTTCTTTACTTCTGGTTTTTCCAGAATATAATTGCCTTGGCAACTTAATCGATTATTGATTAAATACTAATAGTGATATTCAACGAATTAATTTTCTTATCATTACCATAATTAATATGCAAAACTTAATACTTCTTAAACAGCTCTTGTGGTTAATTGGAAAGCAATTATTATGCTTGTATTATATCTATGTTCTGCTTCTTCAAGTTAGAATCTAACCTATCAGTCTAAATTACCTACCAGATCTCTAAGTATCAATAAGATACTCACCCCCACAAGCATTTACAAATAGATATATTCAGTGACCGATACATCATGCTGCTCACGTTTATCATTTTCTGATATAATTAAGGATGGATACATGTGCATAAGCATTCTTATTACAGAATTTATTGTAGAAGATGCATACGCTTTTGATAAATCTAAACTTGTTGTAATTGCATTTTGGAGTGCAACTATGTATTAAATGTTAGTATGCTGTCACGCTTATAATTCTATTATTGCTCGCTTACAAGTAAATTATTGCGAAGCAGATGAGAACATTGCCTACCTTCTTTACTACTACATT